TTTGATCTATTGTTCCCGACAATCGGTTCCCGAAAAATAGCCCAGAATTGTGTGACAGTACTCCAGAAAGAGTTGACACAGTATTCATCGGTAATACTTCACGCATTCAGTGTCGGCGCGTATCAGTTCGGAGAGATATTGATTGAAATGCAGAAACAAGACCTCCAAAAGAAACCGCAACTAGAAGAGAGAATTAAAGGCATTGTCTTCGACAGTGTTGTGCCCATCGAAGAACTGTCTAATGGTGTCTCCCGTTCTCTAACCACGAATCCATTTCTATACAAAGTAATCAAAGGAGCAATTAATGGTCACTTAAAAGTATTCAACAGAATAGCGACAAAGTATTATAAGGCGTCGTCGGAAGCGGTCTGGAATATACACACTCGAGTGCCGGCTCTGGTGCTCGTCTCACAGAACGATAGGATCGGAACCGCTTCGGCCAATCAGAAGTTGACCGATATTTGGCGCCAATTGGGTATTGATGTGACGTTCAAGTGCTGGGAGAAGAGCGCACACGTCCAACACCTCCCCAAACATCCCATTGAATACGAGCAACAAATCGACAAATTTCTTAACAAAATTAATATCGATTCCCATATTTACAATTACTAAATAATGCTTATGTTATAATAGGTTATAACGTTTTAGTTATATTATTAATTCATAAATGTACTTAAGAATATCTATATTTTGCTTATATTTAACTCATATTTAATTATCAATATATAAATATTTATATTTTCACATTTTATAACTATAGTAATATTACAATATGATAAATATTATATAAAATAGGTTTATAAAATATTTGATTTAATTTTTTTATTATAAAAATATAATTTAATTTGCCAATATGTCCATGTGATTATTAAAAATAAATGTTTATTTTTATGTCAGTAAGCATGTCAAATTTTCTTTGTAATAAATATAATATTTTGTTAATATAACAATTAAGATATTACTCTTATTTAAATATCAGTCTAGCTCGAAATTAATTAAATAATAAATTAGTAATAATTAAAAAATAATGTTTAATGATTTTATTTAACTTTGCAATTTTCAATGGCCTGTAATTTGCAAACAAACGAGTTTTGATCATCGATGAGATGCCGGGGTTTCCCGCTTTCAATGATATTGCCGTCACTCAGAACTATAATTCTGTCGCAATTCATCACTGCATCCAAACGATGGGCTATTGTTATAATAGTTGTGTTTTGGAAATACTTCTCAATCAATGAATGCACAAAATGATCGGTTTTATAGTCCATATTAGCGGTCGCTTCGTCTAGAATTAGGATCCGTTTCCGTCGCAGAAGTGCGCGAACCAAACAAATGAGTTGTCTCTCACCGGAGCTTAGATTCAATCCCTGATGAGTTAATTCGGTGTCCAATCCATCGACGAATTTGCTCAAAAAATTAGGCCGAACTTCATTCACGCATTCAATTAACTGTTTGTCTTCGTATTCATTGTTTGGATCCAAATTGAAACGCAAAGTATCGCTGAATAACGCGATGTCTTGAGGTATGATTAAAATCTCTGATCGCAATCTGTCTAAACTTATTGATGAGATGTCAATCCCGTCGACCAGTATTTTACCAGAAGATATTGTGAAGAAATTCATGAGAGACATAGCGAGTGATGATTTGCCTAAATATAAATAAATTATAATGAAATATATAAACAAAACTTTTGCAAATATTAAACATTTAAAATGAGTCAATACCTGATCCGGTTCTGCCAACGATACCAATCTTTTCGCCGCTTCTTATTATTAAGTTAATTGAATTGAGCGCTGGTTTGCATTCTTTCTTATAAAAGGCACTGAAATTGCAAAATTCAATGTCACCCGTCTTCGGCCAACTCTTCGCAATCGGCACAATTTCATCGTCAGATTTTACTTCCGATTTTCTATCAATCATTTCATGCATTCTTCTAATGGTAATGAGATCTGAAACGAGTCTCTGTCCGGCGTGTATAAGAAATGTCAGTTTATTGACAAAATGATTGCAATTTTCGAGTACAAAAGCGCCGGTTATGACACTTATATGATCTCGATTTATAAGGATTATAAGCGACGCCAAGAATATGACCATTGAATTCAAAATAGTAATCAAAACTTTGAGACATCGACTCGAACTGAGTAAACAATATTCAACATTGATTTGCGAATCCAGTCTATTG